AGGAGCTGGGCAAACTTGAGCACTCTCCCTGCCTCTAGCTGCTTCATAAACAAAGTTATACCAGAACTGGTTGTCTAATCATGTTATTACACTGGAGGGTTATATGAGCTGCATGATGTAACACGTAATTAGTATACCACGCTAGAAAATGTTACTTGTTTACTTGAGCAATTGTATTTTCAACCAGCTGTTTGTTTTTTGCATGTGATGCTACTATGTCTTAACAGCTGCAAGATTCCTATAGCTAAAATTAGAGAAGATGAGAATAAAAAACTATCCTTGAGATCATTCTGTCCAACCCCTTCATTTCAGATCTAAACAACCCTCCGATTTGGTTCCCTCATTTGTACATTAAAATTACTCCAAACAGAAGATCTCTTCTTGGAAAGTCTCTTTCAATTAAACTTCAACTCCATTATAATTGGTATAAGAAAACAGCCTCTATCTAATGGAGTTTGATGTATATCTTTTAGCTTTGGGACTTAGAAACCTGCTTTGGAAGAATGATGATCAAGAACAAACTATATCTGTGGTGCTCCTTTTGATAGTTAGGTCCATGAAGTTAAATGCACCAACACCTTGTCAAAAGATGTAAAAGACACACTCTTCTTCTCTCAGAAGAGTGGCAAGTGAGCTTCTAAGAATCAATGTCCTCCCTCTTCCCCATTCCTTACGAAAATGTTCCCCATGCGAAACAGATGAGTCATCAAGCAATTCTTAGACATAAAAAAGATAAAGAATCTTTCTAGTAACTTGGTAGCTGGAATGTCAAAATAATAAAAAAAAATTGAGAGGCAGCATGCTATAAAACTCCCATTTAGACTGTTTCTGCCCTATGACATGTTAGGAAGAGTCATTGTGGTCTCTCACAGAAAATGACCTTTCTCTGGGATAGCACTATTCAAAGAAGCAGCCGTATCTGGATGTGAGACCATGTCTATTTGGAGCTACTCTGATGTGGCTTTGCTGGGCTCTCCAGGGTTGTCAAATCAACTGTTTCCTGTCAGACCAGCCCTGGGAGAGGAACAGCTGGCACACGCATGCCTGTTTCCCTGACTCGGCATGTTTTGCAGTACCTACTTGCTTCTGGTATGCAGGTTAGAATTCCCGTTACAATGAGATAAGGGTTGAGTGAGGGCAGTGTCCAAACTAAGAGTAACAGTAGTGTTGTAATCACTAGGAATAAGGAAGAGGTGAAACTCCGTCAGTACTGCCAAACAGTGTCACACTGAAACTGCTTAGAAGGACTCAAAGCTGAGCTTGTACTTCCAGATCTGTAGAAGAGAAACTGACCAGGAACTCAGAAAATGAATGAAGAGGAGCTTTCATTTACATAGCTATAACTGAGAATGTTGTAAAGAGTTCAGTCAACCTCAAAGGAGACACGTGCTTACTATGAGCTTCAGGACACGGCTTTCTCATCTTTTACAAAGAAATGCAATTAAGTATTTTTCTTTATGTCAAAGACCTGCATGAGGTCAGAGAACCTGGTAATGAAAAGCTGACTTTTTAACATCTTCTACTAAATGAATGAAAACACAGTGATAAAAAAAGAAAATAATCTTAACAGTTCATATAAGCCAAAGCGTGATCTGTACTTGTATAGCTCTCGGATGGTACAGATCCCACTCTAGCCAAGGAAGCGAGCGAGTTGGCTCAGCCTTTTATTTTTATCTGTATAACTAAATTTTAGTAATACATCATCATAGTTAATTTTTGAGCACGTAGGTGCCAGCAGAAATGTAATGAATGAAACATGATGGAAAATGATATTTAAACTTGATTTTTTTTTAATCTTTTAGCAGCATAAAGTCATGCTCCTTTGGACTGAAGCAATGCACCGCAAGCCCTGGAGAGTTTCACAGACCTGTGTGCACCCGAGAGCCCACCTGCAGTGAGAAGCCCAGAGGTACAGCTTAAAGAATCTGGAGAAGATACAGAACACAAACCACAGGCAATTGAGTAACCATCAAACTTGCCTTTCTGTTAGCACTCCTCTTCAAAATCAGCAAGTCGTTTCTGTGTTACAGGCCTCTAGATTCAGGGCAGCGTATCTTACAGCAGCCACGGCCAAGGCTGGGAGCAGGGTCCCGGCTCTGTCAGCCCCAGGCCTCCTTACAGACCTGTAGATGCCCTGGGGCTCGGGGTTGCTGCTGGGGGTACAACAGGGCACCTCGGACGGGGCCGGGCGGCCGCAGGGCTGTGCCTGGGTGATTTGGCCATGACACCTTGACCTCAGGCTGTAGAGCCCTGCAAGGAAAGAAAAGTAAAATTACAGACTTTGTCACAGCTTCTTCTTACAGCTTCAGGTTCCTCAGTCTGAGCCAAGGCTATGCAGCTACTCTCAATCAGAGCAGAGCCCTGGCTCCTGGGAGATAGGGGACACTACAACAGGGATTAGAGAGTCACAACACCTGTTGAGTAACTCACTGTAACAGACCTTTGCAAGTGAAAAGAAAAAGAATTAATCTTTTAATATTTTATTGCAGAACAACCAGCTCAACAAAGTAATTTAGAAAGGGGAGAGCTAAAAGAAAAAACCCATACAAACCCTGGAAAGCTCTGTGTGGATAAAGATCTACATTGTAAGCCACTTTTTATTAATAAACCAAGGAATACAGATGTGAAGATGTAAAGAATAAGAATGCATGCATTTCACAATTATCATTGCACTTTTGTTTTGCAGTAGGGCAAAAAAATGACAAAAGCTTGTTTCCTAGTCTGTGATGCTTTAATGGTTAGATGGAATTTTCTGTAACTTGCCCTTTCTTTGTTTTCAACAATTATCAAATGAGTGGTAATGAACTGAAGAGTGCTCTGAGTTCTTTATTTCTAGATAATACTTTTCATCTAAGGAACAATTTAATGCAGTGTAACTCAACCTGAACACATAAGTATTATTTCTACCCTACTGCCATGTCTCCTGATTGCAGCTTACTCCATACAGAGATGTTGTTAGTTCATATACTTACCACTTGATATCATATCGTTTTTTTTCTCTCTAGAATACCTGATCAGAAACTTGATATAACTTTTCCCTGAATATGCTCACTACCTCAGAGCACCTAAATACAGATACCTGGCAAATTATTAATAGAGGATGAGGAAGGAGTAAAAAGGCCTCTCCTCATTGCTATAACAAATTAGACTTTAATTGTCCTATGCAGGGTGAAACAATGAAATTTCTTGCCATCTTTCTGGAATAAATCTTTAGTTCTTGTAAGAAAAGGCAACAATAAGGTTTCACACTGAATCTCACTAGCAAAGGGAGTTTTCCCCTTCTTGTTATTCCATTTCAATAGACTGCCTTAGACCAGGTGTTTAATACTGCATGCATTCATTGCTTCTGTGGAAAAGGGACAGCAGGGTCTCTTTCACCTGTTTTCAATGTGCGCCTTCTCCCTCGCGTCCTCTGTCTTTGGGGCTGATGTTTATCATCCTGGGGAGAAGTTTTAAGGAAGCTTTCACAATGCTGGCGGGCAGCTGAGAGATTAAAGTTTGAGAATAGCCTCTGGGGGTGGGCAGAGTCCCAAGCACAGCGCTGCAGCAGAGGGTCGCTCCCGCAAGCCGCCGCCTGTCCCCGCGCTATCC